ATGTTAAACCTAAGATGTAGCTAAGCTTGTGCCAGTTAACTCAGTGACCCGACCCTGATGACATTCATGCACTTGGAACATTATCTGAGCAGAAAAATAATTAAGTTTGCTATAAAGTAAAGTAAATGTAGAGGGCATGAAATTGATGCAATAGCCCCAGGTCTGTCTTCCATAGGACAGTGGGATCTGAGCCTTCTTTGGCCAGGAGGGACCCTGATATCATTCATCTAAGTCACAGCAAGCCATGCAATGTCTTGGTTTCCGGGCTCTTATGTACTAGAAGGATTATGTGGTGGTGTTGTCATCATTGGCCTATAATTTGATGCAGACCATATATATACTCCGTTCCGTTCAATTGAGGCAATGGCTGTAAGCCACTGTTTGTTGATGCTCTTGCAGTTTTTGGTCAGTTGAAACTAGGCACTGTCAATTTATGGTTCACTGAGTCAGGGGTTGGATGATCCTGGACTTTGTTCATCTGCTTTTGGATAACAAAAAAGCTAAGAAATCCAGAAACAAGAGATTCCTTTTGCTGAACAATTACCAGAGTGGTAAATAATGGTCATGTGGAGTCCAATAAGAGAGAGCAAGAGCACCAACACAAAGGAGAATCCTTTTACTTTTCTCCCTCCCCCAGACTCCACCACAATAAAGGGTTGTGCTTTTGTTTGCCTTGGAATCCATGAACCATGCACATTCAGACCAATCGCAAACACCTTTTTGACTAAAACCCACAATTTTATCAGTTATCCCAGTGGAAAAGAAAAAGGAGGAAAAAAAAAAAGAGTCCAAGATACACTAAAACATGATCCTGATCGGGATCCAAGCTTTATTTTTCCTGAACCCTAGAAAGAAAATACATATTTACTATTAGAGTACACAGTACGTACACAAAGCACAAGTTCCTTTTCTTTTTATTCTCAGGTTTGTTACTTTCCTAGGCAGATCAATTTTACTCTTCTCTGTGATTGAAATTGAAATTTAATGGTGGGTATGGATGAAAAGACCTACTTGACCCTTCTGAACTTCACTTGAAGGGTTAAGTTCAGAGAGATCTACACTTGAGAGCCAGTAGGAGACATACAAGTTAAAGATTATGCTATTGTGTTTTAAGATTAAAAGACGCACCCCTGCATTGCCTAATTTTGTTTGCTTCTGCTGTGTGACAGAGTATGCGTACACATTGAGAGTGGACGAGAAGAGTGACGTTTACAGCTTTGGAGTGGTACTGTTGGAACTGATAACAGGTCGAAGGCCTGTTGGTGATTTTGGAGAGGAGGGATTAGACATTGTTCAATGGACTAAGATGAACACCAACTGGAACAAAGAAGGGGTGATGAAAATCCTGGATGAACGTTTAACCAATGTTCCATTGGATGAGGCGATGCAGGTGTTCTTCGTGGGTATGCTCTGTGTCCAAGAGCACAGTGTGGAGAGACCCACCATGAGGGAAGTTGTTCAGATGCTGGTACAAGCTAAGCAACCAAGCACATTCCCTTCACGATGAACTTTCCTCATATTTGTTTCTGTGTATACAAGTTTTGTCAGTGTTTTCCTCTATCTTGAGCTCAACGATCTAATATATATATAAATATAACCAAAGCTGCAGTCGGTTGGAATTGATTGGATCATAATATCACCACCCAATTCACCCGGTTTGTTCTTTCATTTCAATTACACAGTGCATTTATTTGTCTTCATTGTGAGAAACTGTGAAAGTGAAACCATTCTTTTAAGTCCGAGCTTTGAAATTTGCTCCACAACACAAGAAGAGAGATGTGAGATGTTACTTTTCACAGTACGTACTTGATTTTTGTTGTTGGTTTTTGGCGTGTGAGAGTGTGAGAGTGAGTGGAGAGGAAGAGTCCGAGTAATGCGACTAATGAGCGTTCAGACTTCGGAGTTATTTTGTACGCTGAGCTGATGAGTGATAATGATAAATCACAAGCTACCACCATATACCAACCCTGGAACTCTGGAAGCCAAACGTGGCCTGCTTCCCAAACTGGCTCCAATGGCTGAATAGCCTGAATTTGATCACTTTGTTTTATTATTATTATTTTCTTTTTCTTCTTACATGTATTCTGTAATCTTTTGTACCGTCCGGTGTTCAGAAAGAGGTTATGGTTAGACCAATCAGTTCATGGATGAGCCGTCCGGTTCAAATGAACTTAGCACCATTTCAGAACGGGGCTTGATCCTGGTTTATCCGGTTCTGACATCTAATTTTAATAAAAAAGTTATGTAACAATATAACCTTATGATTTAAAATTGTTATAATAATTTTATTAATGTAATTGATAAAATAAAACTTTAAAATTATAAAATAGTTAATAAATTATTGAGAAAATATATTTCAAGCTTTCATTTTATTATAATTTAATATTCATTCAATTCCATTTAAATGATTATATTAATTTAAGTAAAATTTGACATTAATGGGAATGCCATATAGCTCCTTTTGCTTCAATTTAATTCAATTCCATAGGTCCTGATAAAATTAATAAAAATGAAATATTTTTGCACATATACATACGTTTGTAAATTTTCAATGTGAGCTGATTAATCAACCCAAGCTTGAGCCCAATCCAAGTATGTCAAATTTCAGTATAGGCTGGCTTACAGATTGGATTTGGGCCTTAAGCCTAAGTCTAAGGGTTGGGCCTAAGTTAACCTTAAACCTAGGCCAACTAGTTCGACTTGTACCCTACATGTAAAAAGAGCAAAGACGCATAGTAGGCCTAAAGGTGGGGCCAGACCAACCCATCTTGGCCTTGGTCCTGTATCATCATTAAGCCAGTGTTTGGTTTGAAGGAAAAAGTAGGAAAAGGAAGGGAAATGTAGGGAAACATTTACAAAACCTTGCATAGGTTTCCCTAAGTTTCCCTTCATTTTCCTACTTTTTCCTTCAAACCAAACATATCTTAATTGTATAGTTTCTTCTTCTTCTTCTTTTTCTTCGTTTTTTTGGTGGTACCATGGGGCTACACAATGGAGGAGTAGCTAAGAGTGCAACTTGGGTGAGCCTGACTTGAGCCTAGACAAGCCTAGCTCACAATTTTACAAGAGTTGGTCTTAGGTAGGGGTACAATCGAATCAAGCTTTAATAAAATTTGATTAGGCTTGATTCGAATTCAATGCCAATCGGATTCAAATCTTAGGGTAAGTGCAATTAATTTTATAAAATGTAAAAATATATTAGTTTTTTCTTAGTTCAAGCTGAACTTGAACTTATTGGATATATATTTGAATGAAACTTGAATCGGAAAATAGAGTTCAAATTGAACTCGAACTCCAATTTGAATATAGGAGTATTTTAGTTGAATTGGCTTAGACATGCTGAATTTGGCTTGTCCACCCTTAGTCTTGGGCCCAAAACACCAGCCTTTTCTATTTTTTTAGGTCAGACTCGGGTCTATCCTTTAGGTAAGCTGATCCCAGCCTGATCAGACACACACGCACACCCATCAAACCCAATTAACCAACTTGAACCCATCCCAAACCCGGGTCCAACCTGAGTATGCCAAATTTTAGTTTGGGTTGGGCCTTGGTTGGACAAATTGGGGCCTTAGCTCAAACCCTAGTGAAGGTGGCATTCAATCCCAAGTCTCCATTACAACCAACCAGCTAGAGGCCTTATCAACTAGGGGTGAGCATGGGTTTGTTTAGTTCAGTTCCATGGCAAAACCTGGAACCTACACTATAGGGGTCAGTTCCAAGTTTTTGGAACTGAAACCTACCCTATGAAGGTCGGTTCTGGGGCCGATTCTAGGATTGGAAGTTTCGGGATCAGTTCCAAGGTCTATTCATGGAACTTGTTCTTTCTTTACAATCTCCCTTAAGAAAAGAAGCATGTTCTTTCCAAATCTTGACTTTCAATAAATATAATATATAGTTTAAAACTTACATTATTTTTATTGATGAAATTGAGTAATTTCATATGTAGATTATTGTGATATAATAATAATTGTTCAAAACTTAAATATTAACTTTTACATTACTTTTTATACACATTCAAATATTAAAATGAAAACAAATGATCAAATCGCTTAACTCAATGGTTAAGTGAGACCATGGCCTTTGTAACCATGAGTGCTTAAGTTTAAATCTTTACATCTTCAAAAGTATTTTAGGGTTTATTTCAAGGCAAATTTGATTCCAAGGCTAGTTCCACCAAGGCCAAATCATTGGGTTGGTTCGGGTAAGGTAAACCCTTAGACTTTGGAACTGGCCTAGGCGGGGGTCGGTTCCAAGAATTTGGAACTAGACCCTACCCTATAACAAATTGGGTAGGGTTAGTTCAAGGCCAATTTGAGATCGGTTCCATTCAGTTTTGGGTAAAACCTATCTATTTACTACCAACCGAACTAGTTAGCATTTAACGCCCGTGTCTCATATTCTTTCTTGGTATTTACACCTTACCCTAATTATATAGTTGTTAAGATGAATGTATAGGTGGTTGTTTGATACTCTAAACACAAGACAAATGGCCTTTTGACCTATTTCAAGGAATTGGGATTAACTGAATGCAATGGTTGTTTAACGGGCTACAAAACCAATGAAAAGGTTCTGAAAAATATGGGTCCCATGTATTTTATTACTGACATATAACCTTATCATTGGTTGGTATGGGTTTCATCTATTTTATTACTGATATGTAACCTTATCATTAATTCCCCAAACAGCATCTGTTCAGTTAATTCTTATTTATTTCATGGGGTAGGGAGGCCTAAGACCTATCCTTTAACCTATATTCGACAAAAATAAATTAATAAAACCTCAAATACCCACATTCGACTTTCAGATTCCAACACTTTTCCCCCACTGGCCTATTTCATAAGATCATTTTGTAGAAAATTGATAAAATGTAACAAAAATTAGAAAATAAAGAAAAAATAGGAAATTGTAGATAATACAGAAAATGCAGAAAAAGAGAACATACTAAAAAAATACTAAAAATGCAAAAAAAAAAGAAGAAAAAAGAAAGATATGGATATGGTGAGAACTTGACTATTTGAGATGGGGCAAAGGGTTAGAATCTGAATGCATGGTTCGTCAAATTCCAAATGGTGACGGTGGGGCGGACCAAAAGGGAAATCGAAAACAACAAATCAAATCAACAATGATCCCGAAGTCAACAAACGAAGTCTCAGACAAGGCGGCTTAGGCATACCATCCGCAACAAGCAGGCACAGGTGGAGGGGGGAGAGAGAGAGAGAGAGAGAGAGAGAGGCGGAAGCGATGAATGGTACTGGTGGTGAGGCAGGTGCTGTTCCTGGGCAGATAACAACACCTCCTCTGCATCCAGCAATTGCACCACTGTCATACTTGTTGGGGACATGGCGAGGCGAAGGTGAGGGTGGTTTTCCCACCATCAACTCCTTCAAGTATGGAGAAGAACTCAGTTTCTCTCACTCTGGAAAGGTACCAAAACACTACTCTCCTCGCCTCGCATTTTTTACTTCATTCCAGACCATGATCTATGTTTCTTTCCTCTTAAGTAACTGGTATGCCGAAATTTCTATTTCTTTTTCTTGTCTGTATTTGTTGTTTTGAAATTCGAAATTGGAGACTAGGGATGTTAAAAGCTTCATTCATCTTAGTAATTTGCTTTTCTTTTTTCTGTTTTAATTCTTTTGATACTCGAGAAGCCTGTTATATCTTATTCTCAAAAGACATGGAAATTGGCCTCTGGAGAGCCAATGCACGCAGAGAGTGGTTACTGGCGGCCCAAACCGGACGGATCCATTGAAGTCGTAATTGCTCAAAGCACTGGTCTTGTGGAAGTTCAGGTATTGTTTTTTAATGTTTTGACATACTGTTATGTACCTTTCGATGCTAACTTCTCTGTAATGTAATGGGTTTTCTTTTAAAAAAATCATGTATGATTGATACTGATTTCTGAAATCGATCTGACGCATGTATTGTCCACTGTGCGCTAGAATGTAAGGTTGAGCCCTATATACAGAAGTAAAATTATGTTTATTGGTACATATCTGTTGAAAAAAAATCTTTATTTTGTTATTTGTTGGTCAGCTGTCCTAGTTTTTAGGAAGATTGTTATTAGTTGGAGCATTGCTGAACTAGTTTTCAGCAAGTTTGTTAAGTGGTTGTGATTTTACCAAATCTTTAGCTTAGTGGTTATTGGTTCCTATTTTTATGCTTCTATCTGTTGATGTATGTGCCTATTTAAAGGCCATTCGCTTAATGAAATTAAGTAGTGTGTTGTTTTCATTCACCAAAGATTTCCTATTGTATTGCTGATGGAGGCCCATCCCAAGGCCCACATCACCTTAGGGGCGGCAGCTCATAGGATAAGGATAAGGGCTAGAGAAAATTCAACAATTCAAGATAATCAAGAATTCAAGAATTCAAGATCCATCAAGAATTCAAGAAATCAAGATAATCAAGAATTCAAGATAAGCAAGAATTCAAGAATTCTAGATAATCAAGACTTCCAGATAATCCAAGACTTCCAAGATTCATGGATTAGATCCAAGAAGATCCAACGGTGAAGATCCAGTCAGAAGAGTTCGATCCTATCAAGACCAAGATCAAGAAGAGTTTGATCCAGCTATGAGATTGAGATGTTTAGATCAACTACAGTTTTTCTTTCCTAGTTATTCTATGATTTCCAGATGTATTATAAATACTGCTATTGTTTTTAGTTAATAGACACTTCAGATTTTCTATTCAATTTTCGCCACCTTTTCTCTCTCCTCTAGAGATTTTTCTCTCTTTCTTGTTTCACTAGAAACTTGGTTCGCCCGGTGCTTGCATAACCAGCCCGGTTTATTGCTTCCACGCTGCATCAATTGCCTTCTCTTTGCAACAATATCAACATTATCAGAAGGTTGGAAATATAATATCATCTTAGTTTTTACAGAAAGAAGTGAAGTTAAAATCAGAGAAATCTGCCAATACCAAAAATGCATCGTGCCCTCCACCAGTTTCTTCTGGGCGGCTCAGTACTTGATTTGTTAGCACATATACTCTTATTGCACTGTTTATCAACTCCAACAAATTGTCAAGGGTGCTAATTTGCAAAGGCAATGCCCTCTTTGCTGAAACCCTTAATGGGTTAGGCACCAATAAGAATAGCCAGATCTCTTGAGGCAATCCATTACTTTACCCGAAGGGAGTAACCATAATGAATGAGTAGGTAATTCGCTGATTCATTCTTAGATTGACGTAGGGGGCATGGTTGGTCCATTATCTCTTCCATTTGAGATCAAATTGTCGGTTGTAAGGTCATGCATTCCATGTGAAGAAAACCTTGGTAATATATGTCGAGACCAAATCCATCACCAAGGAAAGGGAACCCCCACCCTCTCCCCCAATTTGGAATGGCATGGGGACCTAACACTTCTGCTCGCTTGCTCTTACAATCAAGATGACCAAATAATTGAGAAAATGATGGCAAATTTTAAAACTACTGATCGTTGGAACATTGAATATACAAATTTCACCTTACCATATGCAACACTTAAAGTAAGGGCATCCTTGTATAAAACTCATTTTTTAATTAATATTTTAAAGGAGATCATTGATATTCCCCAGAAAATTAGTATTAGATGTGCCCTACCTAAAGATGCCACTCGTGAGTCATGCCTTTATACATACACAAAATGGGATGAAGAAGTTAGCTGTGTCCTATTTTCTTCAAGACAGTTCTGCTTATTACCCCATGCTGGTTAACAGTATAACAGTTAGTTCTTCTAAATTTCATTACAATCTTGAGTCTTCAAATAAGAGACACCAAGTGGAGTATAAGACTCCTTTTAGGCATTCACTAGAGTTAACTATAAGAACAATGCTAAAGCATGACCTATGGCTGTCATGTCATTTAAACCAGAAAAGAGTAAAACCAAACATCCCTTAATCCTATGTTGTTTCAATAAAAAATAACTACTACAGTTCTATCATTTTGCAATGCGGAGTTGCGAACATCTATAACACTCACAACCCTTGGTATTAAAATAACTCTAATTATAAACTTGCGGTTTCTCATGTTCCTAAAGTAAGTACCAAGTAGCATGCTATGTCTGCTATTTATAATTGTTTTCCAGTAGAGTGTTCACAAAGTTATATGTTTCACCCTTTTGATGCACGTGGAAAAAAACTTCATTTTAGGAAATAATTTTTCAAGAATACAGAGGCCAATGCAAACCTTATTCCTTTGCCAGTAATTTATTGATATATTTAGCAAGCCAATAGCTTGATTGCTATTCTATCAGTCCTTTCTTCTGCCTCAAACATGATACATTTAATTTAATTTATTTATTTTGTTAAATTCTAATTAATCAATAATGCAAAGGTATTTCTGCAAAACTAACCTAGATTCTTGTCTCTCATTATGGATTGATAACAATGAGCATATCTGTTAGGAATAGATGTTGTTTGCCTAAAGCTCTGATTAAAAGGAATCTTTTTGTTTTTATTGTTATTGTTATTTTGCAGAAAGGGACTTTTGATGCTGGAAAGAAAGTTGTTACCCTTCATAGTGAACTTGTGGGCAATGCTTCGAAGGTATTTAAATTAACCATTGTGGAATACAATAATTGGAAGATTTTATAATGGTTCTTTTAACAATCTACTAGGAACTTCACTGAACATATAATGCTAATCATTTTCCTCAGTGTGGGTAAATTATATTCTAGAACAACTTTTTGGCTGCCGTAAGTTGGATTGAACTATAGGATACAGTAAGCCCCTGTTTTCTCTGATTGTTTATTTTGCTATTTATCTTTTTAAATCTTACTAGCATGTGTATGCATGTGCATCTTTTTACTTTTCTTTCTTCCCATGAGAAAATCTTGAGTTAATTGATGTGTCAATAGGCTTTAAAAAATGTACTTCAAGAGGGCATCTGATGGGGATCCTAAGTAGCAGCTATACAAGTTCATTTGGAAAGGTAAATATGGATTATTATTTATATCTTTCCTTCATTCTTTAATTTTGGGAACAAGGGTGTTTTGATCATTTCCGCTTTGTGTTGGGGGTGGGGGGATCAGACCATGGTGAAGTGTCTCTAGGTCTTAACTGTGTTTGTATTTGAGTCTCAATGGTTAATTTTTAGCTTCTCTAGCTTGCTTTTAGCCTTTAGTTATGAGGCACTTTGGCTTTTTAATACACTAGTTTGGTGTCACATGTGATGTACATGGTGGAATTCCTGGAATGAGTAATTTATTGCTACTTCAACCTTCAATGTTTTTGAACTTGTATGTGAAGGTGAACACTATCAGTGCAATGGTGTACTCCTATCCTATGACATTTGTGGTTTACCATATTTTTATTCTGCTCCATCACTTCTGAATGATATCAACCATGCAAACGTGTTTCACTACTGGGATACCACGGCTTGGGCCATGCAACCAGTGTTTAGGAGTATCCACCTATCAGTTTAAAGTTGGGGTAAAGAAATTGAAGAAAAGAAATCAGGGAAAAATGACTCCAAAAACTACCAGCTAAAAATCTACACATGGGATTCATTCTGTACGAGAGGGAAGGTGTTAGATAACCCCTCTCGTATCCCTGAAAACAGGGTTACATGGTCATTAAAGGATTGGAATGCTACAAACAAAAAAGGGGGAATGTGGATAGGAAGAAGGAAACAGAAACCTGAATGCTACAAACAAAATTTTTAATTAAATTTATACCACAATACAGCAAAGACAACGCAGATTATTTGTTGGAAAAGGAAATTATCAAAAAAAAAAAATTTGTTGGAAAAGGATGGTCATATGGCAGTGGGCTACCCCCATGCGGCACCATGCAGGGAGATAAAAGTACATGCAGTATGAAGTAGATGAAGATGCAGAACCAGTAATGAAGATGATGTAAAGACTAAAAGAAAGAAGTAAAGAAAACAGAAAAAATAAAAAGATGAACTTTCTCCTATGCATGAGGTAGACCAACCCATATAAAGCCTGACTAATTGCCAATCTTGTAGCCTGTTTATAGGCTAGGTCTTAAGTTTGTGCTGCTAATGTAGTCATACATAAATTTATGCAGGCTGGTCCTAGTACCTAGTCTTACATAGAACTTAAACTGGGCATAAGACTGGCTTTGTGCATAGCCTTTAAGGCCAAACTATCCTCAACCTAGGCAAACTCAGATAAAGAATGTCAGCCAACAAAAGCTAGTTTTACCTGCAGGAAACCATGAATACACAAGGTCTTTCTGAACCTAGGAAGAGTTCATGTACAAGAATTCCATAAAGACAACAAATTAGATTAAACAACCAGCATGTTGCTGCAAAGAATCCAATCCAACCAGAAAGGGGGTGGACCAACGCACCCAGGACCCCTGTAAGGATAGCCTTAGCAACGATAGAATGAATTATAGAGTTCTGGAGACAAAAAGAGGGTAAGAAACATAATCCTCCATCAGTGTTATCAAAGTGTCAACTAGTTGATCAGCTAGTCAGTGCAGGGTCAGACTGAGTGCATCATTAACTAGTCAATTGATACTCAATGTGGTAGCCTAGCTAGGTCAACTAGTTGATTAATGATTAGTCATCCTAGTTAACCACAGTTGTACTTTTGCTTTAAACATTTTGTAGTTTTTTTATTATGAAAACATTTTGTAATTAAACATGATTGGATGATGGTATATAAAATAGGGAACAATAAGTTGTTTGCTGATACAGAATTGCCACAAAGGGTCTATCAAATAGTCAGGGTTGAACTCTCTCTTTGGAAAACAAAGGCTGCAAATTTCCTATCCCAGCTGATCCAGCCTAATTTTTATTATGTTTTCAAAACAAAGACTGTAAACTATGGGGGTGTCTGGTTCTGCAGTATCCAGATGCGTGGTATGGATGAAACCAATCCACAGTCATGCAAACAAAATTCCACAATATTTTGTGGATCAGAACCATCTGTTTATGATCTCAAAAAGCAGAACACCCCAAATGACCATCCAGTAGGTGTGGTGTATTCCTAAAAAAAAAATCTACAGTATCAAGAACCACCTAAATGTACAATATCATTCTTTTCTTGTATGGTTTATTTAATCTATATTGACATATGAGAGCGTTTTTCATGTAATCAGTGCCCAAGGCACCAACTAGTCATTGCACTGACTAAAGAGGACAAAATGGCTAATCATCACTTCACCAATTGATAACACTGCATTGAATTCCAATTTACTTCCTTTTGAGAGCAATAATTAAATGTTATGTTGCTCTTGATGATGACCTGCTCAAAACTTTCACCTGCAAGCACCCCATGGATGGTGGAGGGTGTGGGGGGCTGGGAACTAAAAATACCATAACAGAATGGGGCCACGATACATGGAACCTTGAAGTTGTTTACCTTGTTACCAGTTTGAACTCCTTTCCCCAAATCATTTGAAATATTGGTTGCAGAATTGAGGTTAAGTTTGTTGCAAGTTTATCATGGAACAATTCTTCCTTAAAATTCATTGTAGTGGACCCTGAGATGTCCCAATAGAAGTTCTACTCATCAAGTCATTGGTTCTTGCAAGTGGGTTATGTAGTAATGCTTTTAATAGAACCTGGAATTTGATTCTTTCTGTTACTATTTAACTTCTCCAGATAAAAGTGGCTAGAAAGTACTGCTTTTCCTTATTACCTTCATTCCTGCTTTAAAGATTCTGAATTGACATTTTCTCAATTTTATTAACAATGCAATGTTGTTCACCTTCAGATTATGTCCTGCTTTGAACTATGTCCTAATTATTGCCCACTCTGCAAGATGTTTCTCTTTCTCTTTTCTCCTCAGACCAACAACAATAACCATTTTTATTATGGACCATTTCCTTCAAATTGTCAGAACATAGCATGCATTGTCGATTTCATCATTAGATCTTTGTTAGCCCCATTTGTGTTGATAGTAAGCTTGACGAGTTTAAAACTATTACTAACCATGGCAGCCATTGTAGTAGCAGAGATCCCATAACACAATAGCAAACTTAGGTCTGAGAAAGTATAGGGGTGAGATACCTTGAACTTGAATGGTAGGTCTGATTATACACAAGAAAACAACAGGGAGTACGTAATTGAAAGAAGCATGGGTCTTTTATTCGTTGGAAAGTAATTGCAAGCCGCTGATTGATCTTTCAATTCTGCATTGAGGCAAATGCAAAATTTGTATCATTTTAACTTTTTTTTACTATTTTCTTGGTCAGGTGAAGGAGATAACTCGAATTTTCGAGGTTGTCAATGGTGAATTGTCTTATGTGGTTCAGATGGCTACCAATTTGAATAGTCTTCAACCACATCTGAAAGCCTTGCTCAGGAAGCTCTGATATGGCCATACTCAGGTCCCCATGATGAACCGAGGAAATATAACTAGATGTTAGTCACATCCCACTTATGAGGCTCCGAAGGACTATTTGTATCTCCTTTTATGTTACCAGAAGATAACATATTTAATGCATGAGAAACAATAATAAAAATAGATGTTGGCTATCGTTATTGAGTTAGATGTATATTCCATCAAAACTACTTAAACTTAATATCCAAAAATATAATAAAGTTAGTATTATGGACTGGTAAACCTGATTGGTAGCAGATTATCATAATAGCCTATCTGTCCTTCCCTAATTGTGAGGTAAAAAAAAAATGTAATTTGAACTATTAATTGTCGCCTCATTCAATTTCCTCTCATTCAAGGTTTAAAATCTCATGATTTTCAAGGTTACCAATAGGCTTAACAAAAAGATGTATATGATTTCAATGTTTTCAAACTTTAGTATGTGATGTAATGATGTTATAGGTCTCTTGTCAATATGCAAAATTTGCATATCTAGAGTATCAATACTTTGAACCTCTCATTAAATCTTATATTTAAGGTATTAATTCCTATTCTCTCTCATTAAATTTTATATTTAAATTAATTATGTAGCAATAAATGTTGAAATATTTAAATGTTTAGTGAGTGGAAAATCAAAAAATAATTTAGAGGATACTCTATAAGAATGTATATTTGTAAACAGCAATGTTCAAAGAACCAGACCAGATGATGTGGTTAAAGGTTCACAAGTCAAAGGTTCAACCGTGGTTAAATCAAATGCCAAATTGTGATAATGTGGTGCATACATATATAAATGAACACAAATCTTGCCATTAATGGTAACAAGACAATATGCATAGAAAAAAGGCTATGGGTTCAAATCTTATCTAGGGCTGTCAACGGGCCGGATCTTGGTCAGAACCAGCTAGAATCGGAACCAATTGGACATGAAATGTTGAGGATCCAGATCCGTCAGGGTCTGTAATTTTTGGACCCAGAACCGAACTGACTGGTTCTTGAGACAATCAGGTCTAACCTGACAGACCTGATTATAATAAATGAAAAATAAATATTTATGTTTAATGCATATTAAATATTTTACATATATATAATTTATTTAATACATTATACTTTATATATATATATATATATATATATATATATATCGAGTCGGGTCTGAATTGGTTTGACACTAGGTGGAACCAGTTCCGATACGATAGTAATCGGCACCTTATAACTAGAAATGGCCCAATCGGTTCCGGCCCGTCAGGTTGAACCCAACCCATTGACAGCCCTAACCTTGTCATTTGCATTTTGAAAATTTCAGTCATTTGAGACCCAAGTGATTTTAAGAAATCGGGATCGGTTTTACTGTTAAGTTGATTGATCGATTTTGGACAATTTTCAACCTGTTCTGCTTTCTAGGGTATGACTGAATGGAACATATGCTTGGTGACGGTTCAATAGGTCCAACCGGCCAATCTGGTCCAGTTTCCTAAACATTGGTAAAGAGTAATTATATTAGCTAAATTTGGACCAAGTTAACCTTCTATAGGAGATCACACATTCGATACTTTATTATTGATAAAGAAACTATGGGATGTAGATTGGTGTTTATAATGAAGTACATGGCTGATAGGACTATAGAGAAGTAAGTATAAGGAACAAAGTGGACGTGGTGTTTCATGATTTTCAGTTTTCAGTTAATTGGCTTGGATATTTTAACGACTATCAATGGGCTTGGCATGTCAATATTTTCCTCTTTGGGTTGCAACAAATTACCAGTTACTTTTGGATTATTGTCTGGTCAATTTTTGCAGGGGTAGGTGTCGGCCTATGTAAGCCCGGATTCAGTTTTCAGGAGTCATGTTGGTGAATGTCATCTTTTGGGGATATCTGGTCCTTGTTTACAAAGAATTTCACTTTTGCACAGCAAATCATAGAATTTTTTACTTATTCTCCTCACTGTTTGTTCTTCCTGTGATTGCAATCTGAGTATTTTATAAATAAAAATTGCCTATTTGAGTTATTTCCTTTGGTGCCCAAATCGAAAATCTGGGCATTTTGTTAGCGATTTGCAACTTTTATCCCATCTCTGATAGTTTGATTTTCTATTATTGCCTTGTTTTTCAATCCTGCCAATTCTATTCAATTCCCCATTAGCAAATAAATATACCGCCTTTTCCGTAGAGCACTTTGTGGGCGTATAATTAAAGTCCCATATATTAATCGAGGCTTTTTCCTCCAGATAATCATCTTCTCTCTCTCGAACTAACCCTCGTCAGAATTTAGGAAGATAGGTGGTGTAGCGATGGAAATTTTTTTAAAGGTAATTTCTTATTATACCCCAAAAGGAAAAGGTACTCTCAGAAAAAAGATCATCGAGCGGAACAGCCAACAAACAAGGTCACAACGACCCAGATAATCAAAGGAACTAAAATGATGTAACAAATAAATTGACAATTGAAAACACCATGCAAATCGTACTACTAAATGATGACGGATCAGTAAACAATGTTTCACTTTCACAGGCACTTAATTTAGGGTACTTTGAGTTCAGTTACCCTCTAAAACGGCAATTAACCTAACACCTAGAATGGGCCTCGCAAACTGCAGCGAGAGTGAAAAAGATCGTCGTCATCAAAAGTAAATTATATTCAGATTTATTCATTTGCATCCTAACAATTTCTCCACCCAAACCATACCATATCAATCGCATGTCCTTGATTCCTGATACACCTCTCCTTCAAATATACTATTGAACCTTGGTCCGAACGTCATTCAAGCATCTCTCGAGTGCTTAATACTTGACCAGGCAGCTGGTAGAGCCAGTACATTCTTTGTGGAGAATTAAGCACTCGACAGAGCTATTGTTTTTATGTCAGAAAAATAATCAAGTGACAGGATAAAGTAATGTAAATAAGAAAACGCCTGAACACTGCATTTAGTATAACTCCAAAGCGAGACAAAAATCAACCTCTTCCAGTCATTAATTAACCAAGTTCATCGACAAAAGTCAAGAAAACTTGCTACTACAAACAAAATAGAGTTGCTGCAAGCCTGCAACAGCTACTCCTCATCCCTCTGTCTGTTCCCTCAAACGACGGATGGTGCTCCTCACTGTTACTGCACTGGCCGTGCTGGTAACAAGGAAAAAATAAACAAAAATGAGGTTAACATCTATGCCAAAGAAAAGTTAAATTGCAGGAAATTAGGGTATAGGCATCCAATAAGCTAGCTTACTTCAGGGTATAAGCACCCCCGGCCTTCACTTTACCACAGTCCTTGCACCCCCAGATTCCTACTGCTTTTCTCTTCACAGCATACTAGACCAACCACCAAACACATTCACCATATAAATTTCACAATTTCAGAAGAAATATACAGAACCAACATTGCACTATTATGAAAAAGGATCTGTAGCTCAATTTATAAACAGGTCAAGCGAAGGTAAATACAATAACACAATTTAGGTTTTCTCATCTATCGCATTAATTAAGAGTTCAGCTCCTCAACCATACAAGAAATAATTTAAATCCATTTTTTGATCATTCCCTCACCATATTTTTTTCATGACTACAATGACCAAAGTCATTTATGTGACATTTTAAAAGCTTGTGCTTGCCCAAATTGTGGCTTACAACCCTGTATGTACGACGCGAACTACATTTGCAGTTATGCCATATAAAACTGTGTGACTGAACACTCGAGCCTAGAATTGCCCCTAAAACTATACACAGGGTAGTGATCTGATGAGATATGGTACATCAATGTACTACAAAATGCATATTTAACGGTCAATAGACACATCTAAACGAAACACTAAGAAATACCTTGCCACAAAACTCACAAAAGTACTTGCTATGTTGGCTTACTTCCATTTTCTTAATTTGCTTTCTTAAACTGGCACCATATCTTGTGCCTGTTCCATGGGAATCAAATGCATCAGCCCGGCACAAAAATATAAAAAGCAGAAAACAATACTACGAAACTGAACAAATGAAAATTAAACAACTATACGTACCATATTTGCCAACAATTCCGGCCTTCTTAGTTCTCTTAGTCTGCAAAATGGAGAGAAGCAAGCAATAAATACTTGAAGTTTATAACTGCTAAAATATATAGCTATTCTAGGGCTTTACATTGGTCTCCATTTTTATCCTACCTTCAGAAGTTGGCCATAACAATCGAATTCGGATTAGCTGAACGCAATGGCTGTTTGGCTGGCTGTGGAACCAATGATGAGGTTCCATGCCAGTAATAAATTTACGGACCCCACTGTGATAGGTGCGGGCCCCATGTACTTTATTACTGGCGTGGAACTTTATCATTGGTTCCACAGCCTGCTGAACAGCTATCACATTCAGCCAAACCTTGCTCTTAACAATCAGATTGGTATACGAGAAAAGATAATGTACGAGTTCATGTACTAGCTAGTTTAAAGATGGTCTCTAACATGTTAGGACTAGAAAGCAAGATATGATCAGATATTCAAGCACTATGTCATGTCAAAGCCATCTGGGTATCTCCTTATGCATTGAGCATACTTCAAGCACACTAGACAGAAGCAACATCAACGATTCCACATAATCCTTGTTTGTCATGTAAACTAGCATTACAAATTTTCCTATTACCCCTAATTATTAGTGCATCGTTAGATGTTTTGGCCTCCCTAGTCAATGTTAGATGAATAGTTCCTAAATATAAAATATCAACACAATCGCATATATAAGTCAAAATGAACTGCAACATGTAATAAAAGAATGATATATATATATAAAACACATCTTTTTGTTAGGAAAAAAATGCAGTCTTGCCAATTTGATGTTCCTATTTATCTATGGCATCTTAGAACCAGCACCACATTGATTGGAAGGAAAAAGGTTATCCTCCACCATCTTCTTTTATTTTATTTTATTGAAGTTTGATACATCACCATCTTCTTGATTATATGCCTTATTTCTATTTATATACAACCAACCAACCATGTACCATAACAAATGGAACATGGGATGACTCACAAAGTATAAGGTGTCCCCAAACATTCATTGATTTATGAGTACAACTGATATATTTAAATTCCAAGTATCTTACAAGTTCTGCAAGTATCTACTTCTATCTTTCACTCTTTACTAGTCTATCAAGATAAAAAAGGGTCCTGCACCATACGCTGTATTCAAATTGGTAGGCAGTATTAAGTGCTTTCCGACCAAGAAAATATTGAATCTACCAAACAGAAGCATAAAATGACAGGAAAAATCAACAGAAAGACATATCAAATCGACCATATGTGAAACCGCTCTAGCATCCCAACCAGAACCCAAACAATACCCTCCAAATCACAAACGAGCATGTAGAGCAGCATTTAGCTCACCATCTACGCATGACCATATAAATACTTAAAATTTGGCAAATGCATTACTATGAACCCTAAAAACAAAACCCCAACATCAAATTGACAAATGTATGAAAGATTAGCATTATATTTTCCATCCAAGAAAATATAAATCCTTAAAAACGCAAGAATTATTCATCATTACGAATCCTAGAACGACAATTTAAGAATAATCAACCCTAAGCAAAAGTAAGAAATTTATCCGCAAAACATGAATGAAAAATAGAACTAAAAGAGGCTCAGGTCGATCAGCTCTTCAGGGAAACAACGACTGAGAATGAATCAACCAAAGAAAGAAGAGAAGGAGACGAGATCGTACCATGTTGGCGGAACTCAGCTGACGAAGAGCAGAATGCCGTATGAGCAAATGCGACTATGTGAGAAGCTCAAAACCCTAACGAAGAGATCTTATATATCACCTCAAGGGTCTCCGGCGTTTATTTACGAAAATGGCCTTAGGATATATTTTACTAGTTTCTTTTGTTTCTTTCTTTCTTTCTTTCTTTATTTCTTTTTTTGTTAAATATTTAATGCTCAATTTGGAAAAATTATAAATATATATAAAATAAAAGATTTTTACTCCTTTCAATCTAACCTAAAGTAACCCTACATTAAACTTTTAATTACACAAAAACATTGTCCACAAAAAGATTAAGGGTCTATCTAGTTCATGGACAAGATTGTAAATAGAATCAGAACTGGAATCCCTAAGAATCGAAACTGAAATCATTTATTCTTGATGCTTGTTTGGTTTAATAAGGAATTAGAATTGGATTCCAATTGTTGTTGTTTGATTTATTGTGAGTTGGAATCAGAATCAATTAAAATTTTTGTTTTGTATTAATCCATTTATTATTTTAGTATTATTTTATGAATATATAATCATTATTTTATCAGTACTTTGTTATTATTATTTTATTAGTATTTAATAACTAATATCTTAGTATTTATTATTAATTATGAATATTTTATTAATATTGAATAATTAAATTCTATTATTACTTTAATTATATTAATATTTTATTTCTACTTAGCTATTATTATTGTTTATTAAATAATATTTTTATTATTTTATTAGTATCTAAAATTAATATCTTAGTATTTATCATTAATTTATTAATATATTGTTATATTATTATTACTTCAATAATATTTTTATCATCATGTTTTATTAATAATTTATTGTTTTATTATTATTATTTTCTTATTAGCTTAATTAATATTTTATGGTTTAGCTAATTGACTAACTCTACCCTTACTGTTTGAAAATTGACTAAGTGTACCCTTACTGTTTCTGACAATTGACTAAGTATACCCCTAACCGTTAAATATGGACAAAAAAGGTAAAATGCCCATTATACCCCTATTCAAAATTACATTTTTATCCCTGTTTTTAAATTAACTCAATCCCTCTCAAACACTCGCCCAATCTGTCGAAGGGAAGAGAAGAGAGGAGCGCCATCCATCGACAGCTCGACGCTACCATCGCCATCGCCATCTCCACCGATGGCGATCGCTGCAAATACCGAACGGCAGAGGTCCAATGCACGGAAGTCCGACGGAGGTCGGCAGTGGGTTTTTTTTTCTTAACACCCCTTTTTGTTTGTTTAGCATTAATAAACCCTAAACAAAATGGAGGTGAGTTTTTTTGTTTCTTACTAAAGGAATCTGTAGTGTCTGATTAGAATATAGTGTTATTTTTTCACTTTTGCAGGGTTATTTTTTTTCGCTTTGTAGTGAGTTCTACAGACGAACTGAGTGTGCTCTTTATTGAAACCTGTAGTTTCTGAGGTATGTACAAATGCCTTGTATGTGGTAGGGGACCATCTCTTTGTGATTTGTGTGTGTAGGGAACCATACTTTGAGATTCGTGGCCTATGGCCGCGTTCATGTCAGTTCTTAGACCGAGTCAAATGGCGGTTTTGGGACCCATGTGTTTGCTACATTGCAAACATTGGATCCACATGTGACTACTTCAAAAGCAAAGGGTTGTGTTGCCAATACAACCCCATGTGTTTGACTAAATGCTTGAACCACCTAGAAAGGGTTGTGTTGCCAATACAACCCCATGTGTTCGACTAAATGCCTGAACCCCCTAGAAAGGGTTGTGTTGCCAATACAATCCCAGGTGTTCGACTAAATGCCTAAACCCCCTAGAAAGGGTTGTGTTGCCAATGATGATGCATTTGAGCATGAGTGTGGTTATGGAATGGAGGGTGCTGATGGTGAATTTGATGAAGATCAGAATTGTGGAGATGGTCTAGGTGGTGATGATGATTGGTTGGAAGGTGGTGTTGGTGACTCTGATACAGAACAACTGAGTGGTTTTGGTGTACCATCAACCGGCCATGATGGTGTTGGTGTATCATCAGTTAGGGATACATTTGATTTGTCGGATTATGAGTCATTGAGTGATAATGACAATCCAAAGAGAAGGGGATACAGTTGATTTGTTGAATTATCAAGACACTCCGTGACAAACATACTTGTCTGAGGGTGACAACAAATACGGAAGCTACCAACACATGACTATTCACAAAGATTGAGGGGCTGTTAAGGGTTGACCCCAGCTTGTTAGTACATGTACCCACTGTTGAAATCAGGCGGTTGTATGGAATAGAAGTTTCATGGAGGAAGACACATAGAGCCTGCCTAAAGGCAATTGATAGGATTAGAGGGTCTCTGGCCGAATCATACTCTTTGTTACCTAAGTACTGCACAACTTTATTGGCAAGTAACCCTGGGTCTATTGTCAAACTGCATGCTCCGCTAGCCATAGTAGATGACACATATGGCACATTCAATAGAGTGTTCATCTGCCTTATAGCCTACAAGAATGGCTTCTTAGAGGGATGTAGAAAAATTGTTGGGTTGGATGGTTGTCACACTAAGACTAGTGCAATTGGAGGGATAATTCTATTGGCTATAGGCCAAGATGGAAATAATGGCATATACCCCATTGTATATTTTGTTGTGGAAGCCGAGAACAAAGAAAGTTGGTTGTGGTTCTTGAATGAGCTTCGTGATGCATTGTGTATTGATGACCCACACAAGTGGACTTTTATGTCAGATAGGCAGAAGGTATGTGTGTTATATTTTGAGTTTATTTTTTTCTTTGATTTATTATGTATACAACTATTATCTTTGAGTTCATTTTTTCTTTATGTGAGATAGGCAGAAGGCAACTCATACACCCAAACTGACTTTGCTCACTATATGGAAGTTGTAAAGAACTATTCTAAAGAAGCATATGATTGGTTATGTAAGATCCCCCCTATAACATGGTCTAGACATGGGCTTGACCCAATTGTTAAATCGGATGACATCACAAACAATTGGACTAAGTCATTCAATTCTTTGATTGGGGAGTCTAGGTCTTTGCCGATCGTAGAAATGCTAGAAGATGTAAGAAAGAGACTGATGCAAAAACTATTTGAGAGACATGAGGCTACCAACGCACAAGCATCTGTGCTAATGCCAAGGGTGGAATCAATCGTCAGCAGAAGGAGGAGAGAGGCCAGGTGATTATTGGTTAAAAAGCATATTCATTTATATAGATTTTATCTTTTTCATTAGTTGAATCAATTGTACATTGCTCACTCATGTTAACTACACTTATAGGTCAGCTAGGGTTTTCAGGTCTAGACATTATGAGTACCAAATAAGAGGGAATGATTTGGTTGATAATGTGACTAAGATGGATGCTAAGACCTGCACTTGTAGAGTATGGGACATCAGTGGCATCCCATGCTGTCATGCACTTGCAGTTTTAACATACACTCGAGGTACAATAGAGGAGTTGTGTGACATGGCCTTTCACAAGTCCACATATTGAAGAGTGTATAGCCACCTTATACATGCACTACCTGGGCAAAAGTATTGGGCACCAGTTGACCACCACCCAATCAAACCTCCAGTAGTGAGGAGAAGACCAGGTCAACCTCCAGTTATTAGGAGAAGGGAAGAAGATGAGGCAAGCCCATCCCACCATGGCCTATTGGAATGTGAGACAGTAAGATGCTCTATTTGTGGTGGAACTGGGCACAATAGAAGGAATTCTCGTGCTCCTCCTCCCAGTGGCAACAATACTAATGTACATGTATCATTGTTTAAAAATTTGAACACACTAATAGTTATAATTTTCACTTGAATAATAATATTTAACTATCCCTGGTAGGTTGATGTGCCTGCTCCAGAACAAGCTCAAACCAACCGGATGGTTAGAAGGAAACTCTTGTATATCATGAGGGGGGGGGGGGGGTTAAGTACCCACCCAATGCATGGCACCATGGGGATGGCTTCTTCATCTATAGCAATAGGTAACATTGCTAATGTTGTAGATTGTTATAGTATCTTCTACCTCTATCCAATTTCATTTCGATACTATAACATATGGACTTAGCAATATCATTAAATTTTTGTAGGTTGAAGGTCGAAGCAGCCAAGAATTGAATAGACCGTTGTGCATTTTTGTCTCAGGATATATATGATGGAACTAACTTCCAGAAAGGTTTCTAGATAGTGATATATATGATGGAACTGATATATTTTTGTTCAACTAACTTCATTCTTGTTCTTTTTTTTTTTGTTCAACTATCTCATTGGAATGAAATATTGAACCAAAAAATTGGTGTAACAGATGATGGCATGTGGTGAAGCCCTTTATTTGATGTTCTATCTAGAAATATTGAACCAAAAATTTGTTTTTTTCTCCATTTCTTAGTCATAATCATAGATGTGTGACCCAATTTTTGGGTGGGTGATGAAACTCAATTTGCAGAGATAACTATTTTCTTGCTTATATAGTGATGAGGTTTCTTCTTCAGGGACATCTATTTTCTTAGCAGGTGATGAAGCTTCCTTTTTGGGGCCATCTATTTTTTTGGTAGGTGATGAATCTGAGATATCCAGTTTCTGAGTTGGGTAACCGAAAAGGCATAGATCACAGATTTTTAGTCATCTTTGTAATAGAAATTTTAGGTTTATTGGGTAACTCAGTTGGGTAGATCATTTGCTACTTCATTGTTCACCTTCTTGAGGTCTATGAACCAATTTTTTCACAGTAATGCTTTATGGGGAAGGACTGTTCTAGCTAAATATGGTGCAGGTGATTCAATATGGGAGCTAGCTGAAACAAGAATGTCTTATGAGATTGCTCAAAGCAAAGACTGCTTAGTTGCTGAGGTAGGGGATACAACAGTTTGGTGTCTGATGTTTAGAAGGAATCTAAATGATTGAGAGGTTGGACAGTAGATGAAGATGATGCAGCAATTGTCTAGCATAACTCCTGGCTTCATGAATAGGGATAAGAGAATTTGGAAGTGGGATAAAGCAAGAATGCTCACAGTGACACTACAAAAAATACTAATGTCGCCAAAACCGCTACAAACATCGTAGAAATTTTCTCGTGACGTTTGCACAATCGTTGCGCCTATAAAAGTTTGGAAAAGTTTCCACGATGTTTGTAGCGATTTTCGGTGACGTTTGCAAATGTCATTGAAATCGATCTTTAGTGACATTAAATAGCAATTTTCGGTGACTTTTGCAAATGTCATGAAAGATCACATTTTTGGCGACATTTGTAAACGTCATCAAAGGCCACACATTTAGCGACATTTATAAATGTTGCCACATATTGATAACTTTTGGCGACAATTGTAAATATCGCCAAAAGCCATCAAAATTTTTCCCTTGACTACCAAAAGTTGAGTGTTTCTTTTTTCCTATTTTCCTCATTTTTAAAGCTATTCGAATTAATTTAAATCACCTGCTTTACACCTGATTAATCACATTTATCAATATAACATTTTATTTGATAATATAAACATATATTAAAATATTATATAAAACATTAATACTTACAATTAAACATTTATGTTTAAGCAAAATATATATATATATATATATATATATATATATATATATATATATA